CCAAGCTCGATTCAAGCGCGTACGCCGCCTCGCACGCTGCTGTCCAAATGGATCATGGAGTAGTTCCATGAGTTGCCGTTCCATTCCGGATTGAATCCCTTCTTCGTTTTCAGATTTGGGTTGCCGGGCGAACCCTTGTGGTTCGTCGTGCGGCCTTGCTTGCACTTCTTAGCCTTAATATCATTTTTCTTGGCCATCCTTTGGACGACAGTTTTCGTGATCTCCAGGCGTTCTTGGAGGAGAAGGAGGCGGAGGGAGGACGGCGGAGGAGGAGGAGGACGAGGAGGAGGAAGAGGAGGAGGATGAGGAGAGGGAGGAGGAGGAGGATGAGGAGGAGGAGGAGGAGGGGGACGAGGAGGAGGAGAAGAAGGTCTACAAGTGAGGCGGTGAGGGAGGGCTTAGCAGGAGGATGGAGGAGGGTGGAGGGTGGAGGGAGGAGGGAGGAGAGAGGAGGGAGGAGAGAGGAGGGAGGAGAGAGGACGAGGGAGGAGGGAAGAGGGAGGAGGGAGGAGGGATTCGCGAGGAGAGAGGAGGGAGGAAGGAGGAGGAGGAGAAGGAGGCGGAGGAATGATCACAATGACAATGGCACTACTAATGCGAATGGTGATCAGAAGTTTTCGATCCCTAACAATACTACCAATCCAAACCATACGGCTAACCATATTAAGATTCGTAGTACGAATATGAATAACACTATACGCAGCATTCATACATATAAGCATACTACGAACAATGACGCAACTAGTAGTGGTAGTAGTAGTGGTAGTCGTTGTCGTTGTCGTTGTCGTCGTCGTCGTAGTAGTAGTGGTTAGTCGTTGTCAGATTGTCGTTGTCGTCGTCGTCGTAGTAGTAAGGAGTAGTAGTAGTAGTAGTAGTAGTAGTAGTCGAGCCTAGTTCCTAGTCCGTAGTCGTAGTCGTAGATCGGTGATGTGTCGGATACGCTAGTAGTAGGTGGTAGTAGTAGTACTCAGTATAACTATAGAGTCGTAGTAATAGTAGTAAGTAGTAGTGTAGTAGTAGTAGTTAGTAGTAGTAGTCGTGAGTGGTAGTAGGATAGTAAGTAGTAGTAAGTAGTAGTCGTAGTATAGTCGTAGTAGTAGTAGTAAGTAGTAGTAGTAAGTAGTAGTACGTAGTAGTAATAGTAGTAGTAGTAGTGGTGGTATCAGTAGTATAAAGTAGTGGTAGTGGTAGTGGTAATGGTAGTGGAAGTGGTAGTGGTAGTGTAGTAGTAGTAGCTATTAGTCGTAGTAGTAGTAAATGAGTAGTAGTAGTAGTAAGTAGTAGTAGTCGTAAGTAGTAGTAGTAGTCGTAGTCGTAGTAGTAGTGGAGTAGTAGTAGTAGTAGTAGTAGTAGTAGTCGTAGTAGTAGTATCATCACTACTTGTAGTAGCAGGGGTGGTATTAGCCGTTGTAGTAGTGGTAGTAGTAGTCGTAGTAGTAGTCGTCGTAGTAGTAGTAGTAGCAGTAGAAGTAGTAGTAGTAGTAGTAGTAGTAGTAGTAGTAGTAGTACTAGTAGTAGTAGCAGTAGTAGTACTACTACTACTACTACTAGTAGTGGCAGCATCGGTAGAAGTAGTCGGAGCACTTCTACTGCTGCTATTGCTACTAGTACTACTACTACTGCGGCGGCTACTACTACTACTACTACTACTACTACTACTGCTACTACTCTACTACTACCACTACTACTACTACTACTACTACTACTACTACTA